TTTTTTTTGCCACATCTGAAATGTACAGTTTTTTCACAATTTGTGGGTATTCTAGGAACACAACTTCCAGGAATTATAGGGGCTCACTGTATTGTTTTGAAGTCTACAAGACTGAAAAGCAAAGTGTCACTTTGATTACTTACAAGTGAGGTTAAATATCCTTTTGTATGTTATTCGCAAATTTTCTCTTTCAGTATTTCCTAATTCTTCTGTATTTGGTTTACTGCTGTTCTACTGTTTTCTTCTTGGTTTGTAGAAATTCTTTATATTTTTGTTTTCTTTGCCCCACTCCCCTTGGATGCACTTGGACTTGCTATATAGCCTGGGCTCGCCTTGAACTCAAGATGCCCCTGCCTCAGCTTCCAGAATGCTGGGATTACAGCACCACACCTAGCGGGAACTCTTCATATTGTCAATACTTAAAAAAATCCTAGAACAGAGATTTAGAGAAAGCAACAAGGCAAGAAAATGCTTTAAAAAAAACCCTCATTCATCCTCTTTACTCCTTTTTGCTCAGGTAGAATTTGGTTTCAATAAACATTAGATTGTCAAAAACACACTTGGGGGCTGGGGAGATAGCTCAGTAGAATAAAGTGCCTGCCTGGCAAGCACAAGGTCCTGAGTTCAATCCCTGGTATTGCAAACAAACAAAAACAAACAAGAGGTGCTGGTGAGATGGCTCAGTGGTCTAAAGCACCTACTTAGAACAGGCTTAGCAAAGCACAGGGACCACGGTTCAATCCCCCAGCGCCACATGCCAGCCAGCCCCGCCCCCTGGTGGGCTGAGCTGGCCACACACACACACACACATAAATAAAAATTAAAAAAAAAAAAAACAAACAAACAAGAAACACACGTATGTCACTGATGTATAATCTAAAGGGTAGCAAGACATGAACGTGGCAGAGAAGTGAGAGCTACCGGGTTGCTGAACTGTGCCAGTGCTTTGTCTGAGGCACACACACCCTTCACTCTGTCAACATCAGGAACCTAGAAATGCTGTTCTGCTGCCGTAGGGCACGCAGACTCCACCCCTAGGAAGTCTACAGTGAAACTCAAGGGAGAATGAAGAAAGCAAAGGGGCAAGGACGCACGGACACGGATGTTGGGAAGTACACCGTGATGCGGTTGCAGTCCTGTTACGGTCTGGAGCACATAGTGACAGCCTGCTTCCTTTCAAGTATATTCTGGGCAAAGGTGAGGTAACAGCAGGGCTGGATGGAGCTCTAGTTTGTGTGGGCCGTGTGGTGATGGCGGCACTCTACAAACCCATGTTTAAAATAAGTAGTACAGAAGCTATTAAGTAGCATTTTCAGCTTTTGAAACACAAATAGTAAAAATACAAAGGATAACACAGGAATAATATTAAGGAGAATTATTTACCATGCATTTAACAAATTCAGGCATTGAGGGGCTAAAGGTGAAGCCCTGACCTGAGGATGGCTGTTTTCTGGTGCCTGGGGCTCCATCTTAGTGGCCTGCCCTCCCAGTCGCCTCTCCTTGTCAGGTCAGTAGGGCTAATGCAGACCAGGCCTGGACCTTACACAGTACACTTGCCACTACCAAGGAGAGCACACAGGGGACACAGGGAGACCTCTGCAGGGCACACAGAAACACCTGGAGGCCACTGGAACAAAGCAGCTAGAGAACAACTATTTCGAAAGAATCACAAATTCAATTCCTAATTCCTTACTTCAGGACAGAAGAATTAGAAGAGAGGGCTCAAAGATACTAATAAACATTATAATTTGCTAAAAGGAATACAGGATAAAAACGAGGTATAAAAAGTAAAGCCATATTAATATGCTGAGCTGTGAAAGGCTCAAGTCAACAATTTTTGACATTGCCAGTCCTATGGATAACCCACTACTATAACGGACTGCTGGACTATATTGGATTATTTTGCTGAATTCATGCACCTACAATATTTAAATGGCAATGGAATACCCATCTCTAACAAAACTAAACAAAAAAGGGGATACAAAGGAAGGACCATTTTGTATTTGTACATACAAAATAGGATAGATATACAGCTACTTTCTCTTAATTCAATGAATAGAAAGCTTTGTTCTGATAGTATTTGTGGACAGGATATCATGTCTGCATCTTGTAGTATGAATAACCACTAAGAAGACAACAATATGCAAAGTATTAAATATTGAAACTGTCCTATTAATTGGTTTTGAACCTGTCTTATTGTTATGTTTCTCAATAAAATTAATAATAAAAAAAGGAGTACAGGAAAATGTTACAAGATGAACAAGAAAATAAAAAAAGGTAAACTGAACACATACATGTGAAGAAAACAACTGAAAAAGAACCACACAGATGAGTCCAACAGACTGCTGAGGAACAAAGGGGCCAGCAGGCGAAGGCGCACCACTCTCCCTGCCTCCAGCGCCAGTCCTCACAAGTCTGTCTCTGTTCCCATCTGGTCTATCTCTGGATACATTGCCCACTAATTCTTCCCTCTTAAAGATTAACTACACAGCACGTTAGCTAGGAATGCACAAGTCCTCCCCTTCCCATCACTCTCTAGTCCCAAATTATGGAAGAAAGCTACACTCGGAAGGAAGGAGGTTATAGTCTGCCTGCAAAATGAAAACAAGAAACAGATACAAATCACTTTAATCAGGAAACCTTTATAATGTGCACCTTCTTTAGATCCACTGGACTTCAACTCTTGACAAGTATGCAAACAAAACATGCATATGGCTGCCAGCAGAAAGATGAGTTTCTCAGAAAGCACCTGGCCAAGGTACACATACTTCCTTTTGAAAGGGCCTATAAAAGACTGTCCCCAGGGCAAGGATGTTGAGACATCCACAGAGGTGCTAGCGCTGTCTTCTAGATACGAGCTAGCTAACAAAGCGTTCTTTCCCCAGTACTGCTGCCTCCTGATTCACTGGATCCCCTGGGTGGTGATGACATAAGAAGATAGTGCAGGGGCCGGGGAGATGGCTCAGTAGAATAAGCGCTTGCCTGGCAAGCACAAGGGTCTGAGTTCAATCCCCGGTTCCGCAAAAAAAAAAAAACAAAAAAAAAGATAGTGCAAAGGAGGGACAGAAGTCATACAAGACCTACATTTGATGGCAAGAGAAATGCTAACACAGGAATTCTTGAGTCTGAGAGAAGTAGAGCTCCAGATGGGGAGGCGGGAGTGGAGCACTGGGGTGCACACCTATTTACCAGCCACCAGGGAGATGGAGACAGGCAGTTTGGTAGATGGAAACCAGCCCAGGCAATGTAGCAAGACATAATGCTAAAGAAATACGGTAAGAAACTGAGAGGTGGAAATAACAGTGGAGAAAAAAATCTGTTAGAAGATGAAAGATTTTCCTATTAAAAGGGCTATTAGGGGCCAGGTAGATGGCTCGGTAGAATAAGTGCTTCCCTGGCAAGCACAAAGGCCTGAGCTCAATCCTCGGTTCTGCAAAAAAAAAAAAGGGGGCTATTATACTGGGTGTGGTGGTACACACCTATGGTCCAAACTCTCTGGAGGCTGAGGCAGGAAGATCGTTTTTTTGAGTTTGAGGCCAGCATAGGTTACATAGTGAGTTAAAGGTTCATCCTGGACTGCACAGTAAGGCTTTGTCTCAAAAAAAAAAAAAGGGCTGGCGAGATAGCTCAGAGAGCCTGTGTGCTGCGGAGAGCCTGTGCACTGCAGTGCCTGCCGGATAAGGGGCGGGGCCGGAGTACCTCTGTGCCTCATTGTCCCAAGCCCCTCCGAACATCGAGTAGGACGCCGGCACTATGAAGATCTGGACTGCGGAGCATGTATTTGACCACCCGTGGGAAACTGTTACCATAGCTGCGATGCAGAAGTACCTGAACCCCATGAACCCAAGTATGGTCGGGGTTGATGTGCTGGACAGACACACAGGTCCTACTGGCAAGCTGCACAGCCACAGACCTCCCCGCACAGAGTGCGGACTGCCTTCCATCGTGAAGTCTATTATTGGTGCAGCAAGAACCAAAGCATACGTGCAAGAACATTCTGTAGTTGAGCCTGTGAAGAAAACAATGGAACTCAAATCTGTTAATATTTCTTTTACAAATATGGTTTCAGTAGATGAGAGACTTATATACAAGCCACATCCTCAGGACCCAGAAAAGACTGTCCTGACTCAGGAATCCACAATCACGGGGAAGGGAGCCAGCCAGGGCGGTTACCTGAAGGGACTGATGGCCAGCACAGTATCTTCCAATGCTAATAAAGGCCGAGAAGCAATGGAATGAGGAATACATAACTTAAATGCTGAGACTGAAGGATTGGCAGCTTCAGCAAGAGGAAGCATAAGGACACCCATGGCGGCGGCAGCATTTGTAGGGAAAAGATAAAATTGGTACACAGCACCAGGTCTCTCCAAGCAGACAATATATTTATTTGGTATTTTAAAAAAAATAACTATATTTTAGGTCAATGTTGTTTTGATAAACCGGAGTAAAGCTTTGTGATTTTCATCAAAACCTAAAGTACAGGTGTTCGAAATTACAAGGATCATCTGATGTGAGTATAACTTGAAATAATTGTTAGGGTTCCAGTATTTATGTGAAATGTAATTTTTTATAAAAGTAATAGGAAAAATTAATATTGACAGTGAGTCTTCATAAGGTGGGATGTTGAAACTTTTCAGACAGCTCACTGATTTTTCCAAGCATTATATTAGCTGCTGTGCAACACTGTAATCCTCATAAAACCCCTGGAAGTAGTTACTTTTACCTCCCATTTTACAGTCCAGAGAACTGAGGCTCCATGTAGGAGAGAGTGACAAAGTCAGATTATGAGTTTGCTACATATAATGCCTCATGAACAAGCCAAGGAAAGGCAGAGCTGAGCTGAAGAACTTGGCATGGCTGCAGGGAAAGGGAGTCAATATTAAGCTGCAAGAAGTAAGGATTTCTCCAGAAGAATGGGGCTAGCTTAGAAAGTGACTGTTCTGCACGAGTGGATTATGAAATCAACTTAATAAGCTATGATCAACATTTCAGAAGATAAAATAGACAAAAACAGGATGAAACAGCATAGAAACTACCAAAATGTGCTGCATACAGAATTGCACAGGAATGTGTGATTTGTGTACTAGTCATGATGAAACAGCTATCCTTCGTTTCAAAAGTTTATAAGCTTTTCGAAAACATGGACATGAAGGGTCCCAGTACTACACAGACAAGGGAAGTAAGTAACTGGAAGAATGGTGGAGAAGGGCTTTTTTGGGGGCATTTTTGTTATCTGGAGGAACAAAGTCCAAATTGATTCGGTTTTTTCTTTTTTTCGTACCAGGAATCAAACTAAGGACCTGGCACTTGCCAGGCAGGCACTTTGCTGAGCTATCTTCTCAGCCTCTCATATTTTAAAATGATTTCTAGTTCTACTCTATCTCCTTGCTCAAAAAATCTAAAGCTATATGTTGACAATAAAAAAATACAGAACAGATACATGGTGTAATCTGAGTCCTTGGGAAGGTGAGGCAGGTGGACTGCTAGTTCAGGACTAAGAGCCAGACAGACTGGACTAAGAGCAAGACCTTGTCTGTAAAACAGAACAACTCAAAAGACACATGCTTGCTTTGCAGCAATACAGACTCTTACCTCATTTATATTTGCATCTGTTATCCGTCCCAGCATGCTCATTATTTTAATCAGTCTATCTTTTATGTTGGGAGGCAGAGGCTTAATGTCTGTGATGTACCTGGAAATATTCTGAATCAAGCACCAAAGACATCTGAAATACAAACAATACAGAAATTACCTGTGCCGTAGTTTCCTAACACTTGTTGTCTCAGTTACTCTTCTCATTGCTGGGACAAATACCCGACATCCAAAATAAAGGAAGGAAAGGTTTATTTAGCTCATAGTCAGTGAAGGTTTTAGTCTATACTCAGCTGGCTCCAAGCTTGGGTGGCACATGGCAGAGAGCATCAGTTTATGGTGGCAGCAAAGAGTAAAGGGAACTGGAGCAGCTCAGGCAACAACTAGCTAGCCTCTCTCTTCTTACATCATAATGCAAAAATTACCTGCCCCAGGGTAGGTGCAGCATCCACAGCCACAATAATCAACCACAAACTCCAGAAGCCACCCCATGACTGCATGAGGCTTTGGGGGGACACCTAGACACATACCATAACACTTTTTTGTGTGTGGCTGGCTCAGCCCGCCTGGGGGCGGGGCTGGAGCAGCAAGTGGTGCCAGGGATTGAACCATGGTGGTCCCTGTGCTTGCCTAAGCAGGAGCTTTAGACTGCTGAGCTATCTCACTGGTCTACAAACCGTAACACTTGCCAATGCTTCTTAGCACCCAGACCTTTTTCCTCCAGGCCTTTCATAAAACAGCATGTATATTTTTACTTGTATTTATACATCTGGCTCAGCAAGAGTCAAATCCTAGTCTGTGCAGGTACAGATGAGATGCTTTTCCTCCACATTTTTCTCAGAATCTCTCATTTACGGAAATGTATCTCAAATGACCAAGAGTATTTTTCCTAAGTTACTCTCTCCAATTCCTAAGACACAGCACCAAGATTTCAATCTCATATTCCTAAACATTAAACTCGTCCCACTGACTGGAAAACTAATTTCTGTTAATACGACAAATGCTTCCTTATTTTTAAAAATTATATAAGTTAGCCAGGTGTGCTACCCATTTGTAATCCTGAAAGGCTGAAACAGGAGGACTGTAATGCCACCCTGGACAATTAGCAAAACCCTGTCTTAAAAAATAAATGAAAAGTATGGGGGATGTAGCTCTGTGGTAGAGTGCTTGACTAGTATGAATGATGCCGAGTTTGGTCCTCAGGATGGCAGAGGCAAAAAAAAAAAAAGAAAAAACCCTGATGCGATCAGCAGAGAAAGAACTACAGCCACAGGGATGACTGGCAGTACCAATCACGGAGACGCTGCACGTGTGTAACATGATCGGATCCGGCAGGCCACAAGCCAGACCCAGATGGCGCTGCACACTGGGGCTGGCTCCCGTGGGCTACTAACAGGTGACCCCACAGGGACGCCTGCTGCTAGGGACTGAATGTTTGTGCAAGGCCACCCTACCCCATTCACATCTGTCCTGAAAGTGCGAGTATTTTGAGGGTGGGCTGGCAGGTAACTAGGTGGAGGGCACAGGAATGGATTAGTGCCCTGTTGGGGCTTGTATCCAGATGTTGCCCCAAAGCCTCCTGCTGTCACAGGCTGGGAGTTCTGAAGGTGGCTGGATAAGGGTGTGGTGCTGGGGTTAAAGATGTAGATAACAGCAGCCCCACCCTGCACGTGGGTGATGCCAGTCAATAGGTTTGTAGCCTGGATGGAACAGAAAGGGACAGCGGGAAAGCAGGCTCGTGCTGCCAGATGCTGCCTGCTCTGTCCTGCCATGGACTCATGTTTCCCTCTGGAATGCCCACTGCCATGCCACCCTGCCTCGGAGCCAGCTGGCTATGGACTGAGGCTCTCTACACTGTGAGTTGAAATCAGATGATGACCAAGGCCCCGAGGGGTTAGGGGCCTTGGAAGGCAAAATTACGTAGAAAGTCGTGTGTTTTCTGGCTCTGGGGAAATTCTTAAGCACAGTGCTCTCAGGAGGGCAAGACCATATATGCTGAGGACAACAGAAAGCAAGCGAGTCCCCTACTAACCTGCATGGTCGCCTGGGTGTGGAGAAGAGCTTGGCCCCCTTTGCGCTGGCCTCTTTTGAAGTAACCCTGGTTCCTTATTTCTCAAAATCTCCTCCCGCTGCATCAGAAATGATACATGGCCCACACCCTGTGCTTCTTACTGGCTAACGAAGGTGAACTGACTGGAGGACAAGGAGCTTGTTCACAAGGAGCTTGTTCACTAGAGACAACAAGCCATCCCCCTTCCCATCCTGAAATTTTGTCCTTTTTTGTCCACATTGACCCCCCACACACACACATTTTACAGGTTACTGTTATCTTTTTTTTTTTTTGGAGGAACTGGGGATTGAACTCAGGCCCTTGCTCTTGCCAGGGAAGCACTTATTCCACTGAGCCATCTTCCTGGCCCACTGTTATCTCTTATGGGATGACATGTATCTCCTCAAAATGCAGATACTAAAGTGCTAAATTCTAGTAATTCAAAATGGGACTAGATTTGGAGATGCGACCTACAAAAGGTGTGATGAAGTCTAGCAGGCTTTTAGGACAGGCTCTAACCGCATCTGACTGGTGTTCTCTCGGGGGGCATCTGGGTCCTCAGAGATCAAGGTGCACATGAAGAGGAAAGGTCGTGCACTGACGCAGCATGCAAATGTCCATCGAGGGAGCTGAGGGGCCCGAGAGAAACCAAAGCTGCCAATGCCTGCATCTTGAACTTCCAGGCCCAGGACTGCGTGGAAATAAATTTCTGCTTAAACCACCCTGTCTGTGGTACTTTACTAAGCCTAGCAAACTAATAAATCTTTAAAAAACCATCTCACTCTCATGAACAGGAAATGGGTTTCAGTCTAGAACCTAATTTTTTAAACAGATATTTAACTGTCAAAGTGTTTTGTACTTGCCTTATTAAATGTAACACTGACTGATTTGATATTAGGGAATCTAGGGATGCTTCCCAGCCATGTTTTTCAATTAAAATTTTTTTTTAAGTTCTTAAATTCAGGGGATGGGGAGATATCTCAGTAGAATAAACGCTTCCCTGGAAGCACAAGGGCCTGAGCTCAATCCTTTTTTTTTTTTTTTTAAATCCCAGTCATTTTTTAAAAAGGGGCACTGAAGACTGCCCCTAGGACCTTCCCGCTGTGCTGCACTGCCAATCTCTATTTTTTTGAAACAGAGTGTCAATACATTCATAAATTGTTCACAAAGAAGCTGAACTGCAGTCCTGCCTCAGCTTCCTGGAGTGCAGGAATTAAGGTTGCACCACTATGCCCAACTCTCTAGTCCTTATTTTTTATTTTGAGACAAGGTCTTGTTAAACTGCCTGAGTTGGCCTCACATGCAGACTTCTGCTGCCTCGCCTTCCAAATCACTGAGATTATAGGTGTGTGCCACCACATCCAGCCTTTTATTACTTTTGATGCTAATGTGAAGTTTCCTTAGCTTTATTTTCACACTGATCATTACTAGTTACTGATATGTAACTAATTTGTCAGTTGCTATTATATCTTGGAAACTTACTGATGTCACTTATTACTTGGATTTTTTTTTTCTTTTCCTTAGACATGGTCTCTCTATGTATTCCAGGATGTACTTGAACCCATGGAGACCCTCCAGGGGTCAGGTGATAGCTCAGCAGGCACAAATGCCTTCTTGGCAGGTGCAAGGTCCTGGGTTCCGGTACCAGTTTCCAGTACCACAGAGAGAGAGACAGAGAGAGACAGAGACAGACAGACAGACAGACAGACAGAGAGATCCTCCTGCCTTAGCCTAATGAATGTTGGGATTATAGGCAAACACCACCATGCCTGGTTTCACTGGAATATTTTTAATGTGGCCACCACAGTTTTTCTAAACATAAAGCCAGGGCTTTGCTATAAAAAGCCCTTTCCAGACCTCATCACCGTCTGGTGGAGGCACACTTGTAATCCCATGGTTCGAACATCACTAGTTATTTACACACATATCCCAATCTCGCACCCCTGCTACATTAATTATTTCAGCATAGAGACCTACCTACACACTCTTTAAATATATGCTGGCTGGG